TCAGAACTCTAAGCACCTGAGAGAGAGTGGGCACCTCCCAGAACATTATATTGTGCCACGCCCAATAGAAATACTCCACTTGGATACCATTTACAATCAGCTCCTCAGTTGCTCATTCCACCACTGAGTTTACAATGACTTATGGGTAGAAAAGCCATACTAAGTAATTTACTACACTGCAGCTACTAACCAAAAGGTTGGCAGTTTGAACCCACCCAGAAACACTTCAAAAGAAAGGCCTGGTGATATGCTTCCAAAAGCCTTGAAAAAGTCACAGCCTTGACAACGCGTCGGAGCACAGTTCTGCTTTGAAGCACATGGGGTTGCCATGAGTCAGAATCAACCCAACAATGACTGGGTTGGTTTTTCTGTATTGTATTATCAGACTAGCCACATATAAAAATGTAAACCAAAACAACTCACAAATGAAAAAGATCTCAAATCACCAAATCAGGAGCAAACAGAGAAAGGATATTTTAAATAACTTAAAAAGTAACGTTGGAAACTCAAACAGTGGAAAATGAGTTTCTTTTTGGAGGTTCCTTTGACCATAGTTGGAGAGAAAGTTTTCTATGCTGGTGCCCAGTGCCTTTTCTGAAGCTGAAACTTCTGGGGTCATTCACAGATAGAGAAATCCTGGACTGCCTCTACCCCCTCCCCTCCCTGAACTGAGAAACTGAAATAACCTCCTGTGGTCAGACCAATTCAGCTTAGGATAAATCCATTCTTTTAAATATCTTTATGCATATAGCTTCTTCTTCTGCTTTCAGAATTATTTTACAGTTTACAGTCAAAAAACCTAGGGCGGGCATTTTCCATACCAGAGTCCTTTGGTACGAAATCATTCACTACACCAGAAACTCCTCACCTTCTATGGACAAGCAATGAGTGGACTTGAATGTTGACTGTGTTATTATTATTACTATTATTTTAAACTTTGATCCTTTTAACACAAGGCAGAAAGGGATATTGGATTAGGTAGATATCTTCTACAAGACTCACTTTTGTCTCAAGGATGGTCAGGCTTTTCTGCAATCTCTTCTTGGCATTTGATAAGCAGCTGCTTCTCTTCTGACACTCTGAAAATGCTCCAAACATGAGATAGTGCAAGTAGAAACAAATGCATGATTTTCATACACAGATTTGGTATTTTTCTGCATGAAACAGATAAAACCATTTTCTACCTCATTCACAATAAGCCAGAGGATATACCTATTTAGAGTCATATGTCAGAGATACACAGGTTTGTTTTGATTTGGCTTTACCTTAAGTACCTAAGGTTGAAAATTTCTTTCCAGCAGAATGCTTTAGAATCTCTTTCTCTGGGCTTTCTTTGGACTCACTGGAAAGATTGTGTCCACTGTGGAAATACCTGTCCCCCTCATGGATGGGAGAGACCAAAGAAAGATTCCACCATCAATCCCCCATTCCCATTGGGAAGGGGATATCCCTTGTCTTTGGAGAGTATGACAATAGAGCAAACTCTAGGATGGGTTGTCAGGATCCCTTTCCTAGCTCTCCAAGCAAGTTGTGAATAGAGGGTTAATTTCCTTCCAGCTTGTGTGAGGCTGCTCTAAGTGGCCCCCAGGAAGAAGGCTGCACAGCAACCATAAACTCTATAACCTTTTCAGAATTCCTCTTGGCCCCTTGAAGACCTGCCAGCTGGTTTGGCTTTGCAAAATTGCCTCACCCCAGGCCACTGAGGAGGCCCACAGGAGCTGGGGCCCAAAGGTAAACAAAGCTGGAGTAGAAGCTGCCCTGCTGCTCTCCCGGGCCCTGCTGCCCACTCAGCAGCCCTGGGCCTGCCCTGCCACCACCATGCCCCCAGTTAGATGGAATGCAGAGCCTCCAAGATGTGGCACTTAGCCTCAAAGGATCAATGAGAAGGTTTGCTCTGGCTCCTCATGTGTCCCTAGTCCCCACCCAGCCAGTGCACAGTGCTGGGTAGAAGGGTGGAGATGATGGATGGGTAGGGAGCCTATCTTGGAATTTTTTGTCTAGTACTAAAAAAAAGTTGCAATGTCCGTCTCTCCTGCTGATTTGCATGGCACCTTTTTCAAGGCAGACATTTGCTGCTTTCCAGAAAGTCTGTCATCAACAAAGAGACTAGCTGAGAGACCTGCCCCAGGAGGTGGGGATAAAGACATCGCCACAGGCTAGGATCAGCATATTGACATCACATAGTTACACAAGTATGGTCCCAGAGGACACTTTCTGCCAGTAAACACCTGGTTTATCAAGTTTTTTTTCCCCTTCATGCTTAGAGTATATATTATTCTCCTCATAAATACAGCGATCTTCTTTTCCCTTCTTTTCAAGTCAGAACGTAGTGAAATCCATTCTAATTGTACAGCATTTACATCCATCATATTAAAACGTGTCAGTTTTTGCTACGTGTGTATCAGTGGGTCAGTGTGTCTAGGTAGCGGTGCTCCCCATCATGGCTCTGTCTTGGCAAATGGTAGCTGGGTTCTAGCACCATGAGCGCCCTCTTAATATGACTCCACCTAGAGGCTTTAGGAGATACGGTGGCTGTAATCCTTTTATGAGCTCCTGCTGCTCTCCAGGCCTGCACCAGGATGTGAGTGTGTGTGTGCGGCATTTAATAAGGACGCCTCCAAGGGTCCCGAGAAAGCAGGCACCAGCGCTGAGGAGAGAAACAAGGCCATCCCCACCACAAAAGAACCCGAAGCCTTCCAAATGTCAATACACTGCTGCATTTTTCCAAACTTGCTGCTGGAGCGGCCTTTAACATCCAACCGCCCTGCTGTGATCCACTGGCTAAAAACGTTGATTGTTAATTGTCTGACCACTACAGAGCAGCTCGTTTTAATATAGTCATGACATGAATGGGACCCAAGCTCCCCTTTGCCCCTCCCCTGAGGCACCTTGGATCTTGGAGGGAAAAGGGGACACTTAGTTGGCTGTGGTACAACAGGGGCCAGTGTTGAGGTCAGCAATAAATAAGGGGTAACATTGTTTTCCCTGCTGGCAATCAGCAAGCCTTCCTTAAGGATTGAAATAACTTACATTTCTGGAGCAAGCAGCTGAGTAATTGAGAAAGAAGACTCTGTTCCTCTCTTCAACAGAATCTCTCTCTCTCTCTCTTTCTCTCTCAGACACACACACACACACTTCTCTCTACACCGCCCCCCAAATTCTTCAATTGCTGCTCTTACTCTAATATGTAGAGCAAGCCAGCTGTGTCTCCCTAATTTCTCTCCTGAAGAGGGCTGGACATGTGGATGTGAGTATGTTGCTCCAAGGGCCACTCCAATGGAAACAAAGACCTCGTAAGTAAGAAGAGTTGAGCCCAAACATTTTAATAACCCATGCAACAGAAGCAGCAAAGATGGTCATGTTCTTTTACTTTCCTAATGCTACAGTTCTCTTCCACACAGGCTCTGAAGATTGTTCAAAGAACTTCACAAGCCCCAATGGGACCATTGAATCTCCTGGGTTTCCCGAGAAGTACCCACATAACTTGGACTGCACCTTTACCATCCTGGCCAAACCCAAGATGGAGATCTTCCTGCAGTTTCTGACCTTTGACCTGGAGCATGACCCTTTGCAGGTGGGAGAGGGAGACTGCAAATATGATTGGCTGGACATCTGGGATGGCATTCCACATGGTGAGTGATGTCGCTGTCACAGAGACACTTCTCAGTAGTTTGTCCTTTGCCTGTTAATTGCTTTAGTAACAATAAAAAAGGAGAACAAAGACTTCAAAGCTCCTTAGGGTTCTTACACAACACATGATTACTTTCTCTTCTCCTTAGCCAAGGATGATTTGAGAAAAACTATAGAAAGGCAGTCTCCTTTCTTGGAGGTACTTCTTTAGAAAAGGATAGAAAACTGAATAGATACTTGGGTGAGGATGAGCAAACCTATAGATGACACTGTTTTCCACTGCAAATTGTCAGGATTTCCATAGAAAGTGACTCAATGACCAACCTGTTATGCCTTAACAGAAGGACTCTAGAGCCAGATTGACTGGATTTGAATTCTGGCTCTGCTATTTATCAGCTGGGCAACCTTGGGCAAGTTACTTAACCTATATTAGCTCTATAAGTTCATGGCTATGATCATCATTATTACTACTATAATTATTTTAATGATTAATGTAGCCAAGGCACCATCCAAAGCCGAGAGGATTTCTCATGTGGGGACCAACAAAGGTCTTGAGCATAGTCAATGTCAGTAAGGAAACCAATCTTTCACTTTTGTAGTCATTATAAGTATTTTCCAATATAAGGGAGACTTGATAGCTGAGCAGGAAGAGCAGCATTATTTCTTGGGGAAAGGATATGCTTTAGTCAGAAATCCTGAGTTTGAGTCCCAGCTCTGCTGTTTCTTAGCTGTGTGAACAAGGAAAAGTCATGTGACCTCTCCAAATCTCAATTCCTTGTTCTGTAAAACAGCTTTGTAACAATACCTTTCCTGTCCAACTTCTAGGCCTGTGAGAACAAAATGAGGCCATGCCAATGAAATTACTTTTTAATGGATAAGAAAAACATTAGACTTGTTCTTAATAAATAAAACATTTTTGTTGTTCTTTTTATATCGAAGTATGCAAAGTGATGCTCTATTGAATGTAATGCAATGATGGGAAGGAAGAATATACTGAATACAGAATTTGACAATTCCATTTTTGTGGTCTCTTTCTCCTGCATGTCTAGTTGGCCCCCTGATTGGCAAGTACTGTGGGACCAAGACACCATCTGAACTCCGCTCATCTACAGGGATCCTCTCACTGACCTTTCACACTGACATGGCAGTGGCCAAGGACGGCTTCTCTGCACGTTACTACCTGGTTCAGCAAGAACCTCTAGAGAGTAAGTTGGTCAGTTACGACCCTCTGTCCTGTTCTTGCATCAGGACTGTGAGGATATACAGACGCTGACCTCTGCTAAGAGGAGATAAGAACTCAACTGAATTGGCAGTGGGATCAAAGTCCAAGGAATGGAGGCCACATCCTCTTTCCAGGCAGAGATTAATGAGAAAAGAGCAACTGTTGAGTTGCTTGCTCATTTCTTTAAATAACAACAATAATAAAAAGTGTACAAAGAATTAGTTACTCCCATCTCAAACTTCAGTTTCCTCATCAATGAATAAAAGGGAAGAAAGTTAGGATGATCTACGTAGGGTCACCTCTTGTGAACCAGAAGGCTGGCAGTTCAAACCCACCAGCCACTCCTGGGAAGGAAGATGGGGCAATCTAGTTCTGTAGTGATACTGCCTCAGAAACCCAAGGAGGGGTCACTATGAGTCCGATCCAACTTGACAGCAGTGAATTTAAGACTCAGTGGCCATTGTCACAAAACTGAGAAATTTTAAATCAATCTCTTTCTCTCTCTCTCTTTTCCTCCCTCCCTCTCTTTCTCTGTCTCTCTCTCTCTATATATATATTTGTTGTTGTTGTTGTTGTTGTTGTTATGTGCCTCGGAAACCCAAGGAGGGGTCGCTATGAGTCGGGTCCGACTCGATGGCACATAACAACAACAACAACAGCAACAAACAGAGAGAGAGAGGAAAAGAGAGAGAGAGAAAGAGATTGATTTAAAATTGCTCAGTTTTGTGACAGTGGCCATTGAGTCTTAAACTCACTGCTGTCAAGTTGGCTCAGACTCATAGTGACCCCTCCTTGGGTTTCTGAGGCAGTATCACTATGGAAGTAGATTGCCCCATCTTCCTTCCAAGGAGTGGCTGGTGGGTTTGAACCGCCAGCCTTCTGGTTAGCAGTCAAGTGCCTTAGGCACTATGCTACCAGAGCTCCTATATATATATATGTGTGTATGTGTATAAAATCTCTCTGGTCCTGGAAAAGTTTCCCTAACTGTGCAACATTGAAAAATATAATTCTAATCCAGCTGTCATGAAATTTACAGTCTAGGCCCATCAGTCTGGGCCATGAGTTACATCTTCATAGGCTTCAGGTACGCTCTCCTTTCCATTTAGAAAATTTAAATGACAACTTTTAGGATTAAAGAAACACTTGAGAATGATTGAAGCTGAGGGAACGCGGCCTGGGTTGTGGACAGCTCACCTCATTTGTAACTGTACACAAAACAGCCTGGCCTGCAGGAACATGGCTGGGTTTTGTTCTGGGTGTTGCTTCTGTTTTTTTCATCAAAGTCCTTATGGAGATTGAGTCACAGAGAAGCAAGATGGCAAATTGCATCAGTTCTGCAAATGGCCCATGCAGTCACAGAGCTAAAGGATAGGTTTGATATCTGAAAAAGATTGCTGGCCCTTATCAGCCACGTGCATGCACAAATATTGATCAGTGTCCATGGAATCCATGGGAAGGACAGCAGTTTAACAGATGGCACAAGTCTAGAGTAAGTGACTTCTGGGTCTATTTGTCCAGACAAATGGTGCAGAGGACTATAGAGTGGCATGCAAGTGCTCGTAGAGTAGTCTCCCAAAGACAGGTATCTATGCTTTGTAATGTCTGTCTTTTGTGCCAGAACTCATGAGAGTGAAGGAAAGAAGCACACGTGCCTCCTGGGTGTTTAATAATAAAACAGGCTTCCCGCGATGTATCAGCCCACCCCGATTGCCACGGGTCTGTCTCTCATTTACCTGTCTTGCAGCAATGGTGCATCTGGCTTCTCTGAGCATCCGTAGCCTGCAGCACTAACAATACTTGTGCTCTAGATTGTATTTTTAATTTGTATTATGATTCTTATTTATCCACAGCCTGATTTCTTTTAGGTACAACTTAGTTTCTTTCAGACCCAGAGTGGTTGTCAACTCAATGACTTGATGTAGTTGTTTTTAAAGTGTGAGTGTATAATTAGGTCTTCATGATGAGGGAGTGCCTGCAAGGACATGTCCCTGGAAGGGAACAGCATTTTTTGGGTCCCTGGTGTTTGAGGGTGAGAGGCCTAATTCTACCCTTGACCATCTGCATTCCCAGACTTTCAGTGCAATGTCCCCCTGGGAATGGAGTCCGGCCGGATTGCTAATGAACAGATCAGTGCATCATCTACCTACTCTGACGGGAGGTGGACCCCTCAACAAAGCCGGCTTCATGGTGATGATAATGGCTGGACCCCCAACTTAGATTCCAACAAGGAGTATCTCCAGGTAATTATTCAGATACCAGAAGGTGTGCAGAGTGTGTGTATTGATGGGGCAGGGGAATGGTTTCTGAGCTTGAGTGAAAGAAGGGCACAAAGAGAAATGACTGTCATATATAAGAACTCCATTCATTCACTGAGAAAACAAATGTGTGCCAGATACAAGTATACTATGCTAAATGCTAGGATAACGTGATGAGTAAAACACCCTCCTGCTTTTGTGGAGAATATCACACCTTGGAGAAGTTATTTGGCAGGAGACAGGCGATACTTTCTGTCTTGTCCCTATGGATAGCCCAAGAACAGTCTATAAACAGTTCCAGATCTTCCTTCCTCATTCATGGCATAGGGTGGCGTCAGCAATGGGCTGGGTGGGGAAGCATTTTCTTCAGGGTATGCTTGTTGGAGTGCAAGCTGAGCATGGCAGCTCCTCCTGCTCTTTGCTGTTTAAGGAGAACCTTACCAGGCAGGTCTTTTGCACTTAGCTATCAGAATGACACATGGAAAATGTCACTACCAGGAATGAAAGTCAAGTCGCCAAGATGCTTTGCATCATCTTTTCAGACTGGTGTTTGCTTTCCTTCTGAATAAGACTTACATTTTGGGTTGGGTAGTCTCCCCTTGGGTAATCTCCCCTTGCACACTACAGACTGGTCCAGTTCTCATCCCCTGGGAAGAAGTAAACAGGGAAAGAGCAAGCTGCTACTTCCACACTAGACCTACTACTGCTTTTATGACACACGACAGACAGCCTAGTGACCCCACTGACAAGCCTGTCCTCACTCTGATGTGACATAGTGACCTCTGCTCTAAGATGGACTTCACAGGGCAGACAACAGGAAAGGGAAAAAGACCGCTTATAAACTTCTGGAGGTCACAGAGTTTCTAACAGCACAACTCTAAGGCTATCTGTCTCTGCCTCTCCAAAATCCTTCTCATCCTGCAAAGTTTCCAGAAAGTTCTCCTGCGTAATCAGCAGTACAGAGCTCTTTGGGGCATTCCATTGATTATATTTCTTAGTTTTGAACCTTACTCATGCACTTCGCTTACTACTCTCTACCTGTTTCTCACGCACATATATGGCATTACTTACTTCTTTTGAATGCTTAATAATGCTGAACACATAGTAAAGATCCAATAAGTGTTTGCTGGATTGAATGTTACCAGTGTTCTCTGGGTAAATTTTGGTCAAACAGAGATTGCCATTAAGAAGCACTGTGGCCAGCGAAGGAATGACATCCAGCAATTTCCAAATGGGTTTGGCATTTGTGGAGGGGGATGTGCTTTAAAATGTTGGCCATTCTCTTCATAGAGCAAAAGGTCAGGAGTTGGTGCATAAGCCTAATTGCTTGGACAGACTCTGCATGCCCTCTGACCCCTTAGTGACCTGAACAACTAAAAATACAATGGGATAAGGGGCTGAAGGGAGGAGGGGAAGACATGAACTGTGGCTTATGCAACTCGAGCATCATAAGTGAATTGGATTGAATTGGACTGGATTAGAGTGGAGTGGATTGGATTGGATTGGATCGTTCCTTTAAAACAACATCTGCTTTCACAATGCAAGCAGGTCATTGTTTAGTTAGAGGAGATCATAGTTCTACATGGTCAATGATTACTCTCAGATAAACTTAATACTGTCCATTCAGATTTGCAAGAAAGAATCAAATTACATATCCAAGGTGTCCAACTGAGCATCCAATAAGTTGAGTTTAAGTGTCCAGTAGGATCACAAAGTGATGCTAATTACAAATACATAGGATGACATCAAGGAGCTCTGGTAGCATAGTGCCTAAAGCACTTGATTGCTAACCAGAAGGCTGGCGGTTCAAACCCATCAGCCACTCCTCAGAAGGAAGGTTGGGCAATCTACTTCCATAGTGATAGTGCCTCAAAAACCCAAGGAGGGGTCACTATGAGTCGGAGACGACTCAACGGCACATAACAACAGCAACAACAGGTCTGCATCACAGACACAGATTGTGTGCTCAGTATTAGAGTTGTGCCCTTTGAAGAAAAAGCAAGATGCTTCCCCCCGCTGGAAGTGATGATCCCCTTACTCACTCACCTCTCCCCGCCAGGTGGACCTGCGATTTCTAACCGTGCTCACGGCCATTGCAACACAGGGAGCAATATCCAGGGAAACCCAAAATGGGTACTATGTCAAATCCTACAAGCTGGAAGTCAGCACGAACGGTGAGGACTGGATGATGTACCGGCATGGCAAAAACCACAAGGTGAATCCATTTCCCCGTCTCAAATGCATGCTGAACAGTGCACGAGGGTGGGCCAGAAGGAGCTTCAACTCAGCTCCATACGAGGAGGAGGCCTTGTCGAGTGTGGCTCAAATAATTGGTGGAGGCAGTGGACATGGTTGCCCTCCAAATATTCGTTCCTACGTTAAAATGATTGGAAAACACCATTTCTCCAACAGCCTGGCTGCTTATGCGTCTTGTGCAGCAGTGAGAGAGTTTGCAGTGTGTTCTCTGACTGCAAATGAAGGAGAAAATGCTTTCCCAGCCTGTGTCTCCCCACACAGGGTTCATTGAGCATTGATGGCCTGAGTCCCTTCTTCATGCTGGGCAAACAATCACAACACCACATGAAGCTGCAGTTCAGGAGTTACCGAGGTCTTGAAATAAAAGGGCACAAATCCTAAGAGGGAATCACAATGTCCCCGAGAAGAAAGAGGGCAATAAATAATGAGGAGAAATTCAGTGTGTCAGGGAGCTGGGATCTGAACTGGCAATCATGCTTGGCAACAAGGCACTGAATGCTCCCGGCTGGTGCCTTCAGTGGCTGCGGTTCCCAGAGGTGTGGTCCGTGTGGGTGATGTGGGGTTTTTGTTGTACATATGGATGAATGTCTGGCACTCAGCTTTCTGAAGACACATGGCATTCTGGCAGTGAGCAGGCCTGCAGCTGGGGTTGGCAGCGTGCTGCTGGTTATACAATACCCTCAGACCATGGGTCAGGGGGCTGATTGGAAACAGCAGGGGGTCTCACCTGGGCAGGGATGCTGTCATGGGAGCATGCACCATGGTGGCCCTGAAGACTGGGTTCATCATGCACTGACTCTTAGGTTTGTGAGAAGAATGTGATGTCATGTGGATTCCCAGATACTGCTCATCCTTCTGGGGAAGGAAGTAGAGGTGGAGGGAGAGGATGAATGTCTTTACCACCAAAGTTCCATCAGGACCCTGGTCTGCCATGATGTGAATTATCAAAAAGGAAGCACGTGGCCAGGCCTAGAGGTGCCCCAGCTCCTTCCCAAAGGGAGTCCTTGGCTCCTGCCACTGACCCAAAGCCCCTTGTTCTTGGAACAACTAGAGACTTTGGGCCCCCAAAATCCTGCACTATACCACTGGCACTATTTCACTCAAGGAAGCTTGCCATTTTTGAGTAATTTATTATTATTATTATTATTATTATTATAAAGTTGCTTTGGTAACATGGCCCTATTCATCTGAAAATCATGACTTCTAGATATTACCAGGTTTAAAAAAAAAAGTACCCCCATTCCACAGATAAAGAAAACAAAGTGCTCAGCCCCTAGGAGACTTCCCCACCTTGAGGTGTTGGGCAAGTCTGGCTTCTCACTGGCTTGATTTCAGGAGGAATTGCCAAGCACCAGTGGGGGTGGACTCGTCAAGAGGGTGCTGACAAGAGCGTGGGCTGAGTCCTCATCCCTCCTTAGTCCTTTGCCACTCATACCTTCTCCCCACCTACCCTTTTCAATAAGAAACTAATAGAACCCTGAAGCTCTGCTCAAGCAGATGAGGGCCAGCAACTGGGTTTTGTGGGTCCTGGAGGAGAAGAAGAACGTCCACCTGACTGTCTCCCCATCCAGGCTCAATGACTAAGCAGACTGGCTAGAGGGATACTATAGCATAAGCTCATTTTAAAAGCATGCAGATGGACTGGGATGCTATTTAAAACACCATTTGTAGGAAATCTGCTTTTGGAAATACCTTAGCACTGCACATTTTGATAGAATGCTGTCCTCCCTGGCTTTATCCCTGGGATTCATTCTGCCCTCTGACCCCTTCTCAGGAGGATTTTCCTGAGAATTGAATTTAGCTTTATGGTCTTCTTTAGAATCTTTCTTCTCAATGTTTTCATATTGGATACATTCTTTTTTTCTCTCTCTCTTTTTCCTACTCTTCCCACTGTTGGCTAAATTTCTTTCCCCAGCAGCCAAGGGGTAACCTGGATTTTTTTAGGAACTCAATCCTGTCCAAATAAAGGAAGCTAGGGCAGAAAAAAAGCCCCCAATCTCCCATTCACCCTCCAGGTACCTAAAGGAGACAGGAAAGTGGAAAGTCTGCCAATTAGGCTCCAGTCCTCGCCACTCCCTCACCCACTGTGGGTGTGGCTGGCAGTCGGGGAGACCTCCCCAGTCCCCCCTCACAAGATGATCCCTCCTCTCCCTTCCTTAGCAGATCTGCCCGATGTCTGTATTTAATGTGCAGATTCCACACTGTTCATAGTGCCTCAGCGCTGCGCTCTGCACTGTTTGGGTTGAAATAGTTGAATGAACTGTGCCAAATAGATTTGTCAAGTCTGCCGCAGTTTGATTTGATGCCATGAGGGGGCGGCCGGGTGAGGAGGGGTGCAGACAGTGAAGGGAGAGATTTTCTCCACACTGGGTGCCACGACTGAGGTTCTTTATAGCTGCTGCATGGTGGGCGCTGTGCCAAGCTAGCTGGTGCTAAGTGGTGGACCTGAAAGCAAAATTCAGACAGCAGGACCTAAAAGCCAAGCAAACCAGGGGTGGAGGCAGCGGCCCGTTTTGTTCTGTGGCGCAGAGGGAAATGCCTTCCCGATGGACAGGGTTTGAAGAAGGGAATGGTTGGGTCAGAAATGTGGGAACTTAATTTCAATTCCCTGGTCACTGTCAACACTGATACAGTGTGCCAAAGACCAGGGAATTGGGGAAATCCGAGGAAAACAAGATTAATGAGTGCTGAAGGTAGTGGTGGTGGTGGCTGTGCTATTTCTTTGCAAAACACTCTTTATAATTTGGACTCGGCTGGGCTGAGGCCTGTGGGGGAATGACTTTCTTGCTGCCATTAGTTGAGAAAGACTGAGGAACTCTCTCCCAGTCTCCCCAGCCAGTAAGCCAGCCTCTTCTTAGTCTCTTTCCATCCAACAAGTAATTGTTAGTTGCCTGTGAGAAAGGCAATTATATAATTTCTGGGGTATTAAAGCATTCTTCTGGCAAAATGCAGCCCCGTCATGCAGGCCACATGTACAGCACATCCCCAATCCATATCCAGTTCCACATGCCATGCTATAGAACCTATGATTTTCATATAAGGAGGGCCCTCCTTATCCATATTTATGGCATAACCACAAGGCAGAGAGCTTGTGCGCCTGATGGATCCCATTTCCAGCCCATGTGCTCCCTTAGATTATACAAATTGCTTCACATACATTTCTTCAGAAACCACAAGCAGAAACTACTGCTTTTGGTTTTACCAGCTGTACTAATAACACCCCCAAACACAGACATAATGTAAATACAATAGTTGGTTCATGTGTGTGTATATATAATTTCAGACATAATTATGTATACAGATACTAAGAGGGGTACGTGGAGAAAGATGGGAAGAGCTCAAAGCCACAGGGCTTGTTGAGGTCCTGCCCACCTCTGAAATGCTGATGCCATGAGTCTGCACTGGAGAGGCAGCTGTGCCGGAGAGATGGGACCATGTCTGATGTCTGGGCAGGGGGATGAGGCCCCCAGAGAGAACACTGCCCTTATATGTCTAAGTAACAGCCCTAGTTTTCAGGTTTCCTTTATTTAGTAAACATGACCATTGTCCTTGTTAGTATAACTCTGATTACCTTGCTCCTAGTCACAGCATTGCTGGGCTACTCAGATGTATTTAGAAGGAATTTGGGATAAAAGAGAGTCTGTGGGGTGCTAACTGTATCCTGATGGCCAGATTGAGGATGGGAGGTTGAGGACAGGATGAGGTAAGGCCTGGATCCAAGAGTTCTCAGAATTACCCCATAATGAGTGACAGAAATGCACTAAGCTCAACATATTAATGTAATGATGGCCTCCGAGGGGCTCACAGAGCCCTCAGGCACCGACTGACTTGCTTCAAAATTTAACAGCGCTTCCCAGACTATGGAATAGAAGCTCTCAGAGACTAAGTAATTTGCCCAAGGGACATAGGGGACCAGGGGAATCTCCTTGTAAGACGCCTGGTCGCCAGACTTTGATTTCCAAGCTGGTACTCTCAGCAATCAGACGTAGGCCTTCCTTGTCATTTTGCATCCAGAGGGACAGTGACTTCCCAGATGTTCAGTCTAAGAGCCACAGATTTTCCATTTTCATTGAGAGCCTCTGCTACCATGGAGCTCTAATGCCAGCCATGCTTGGACAGCGGGCCCTACAGTGCTGGGCTTCTCACTTTGGAGTCTGGGCCTCATCACAGAATCATGAAAACAGAGAGTTGGAAGAAGTTGTTCTTTGTTTGACTTGGCCACTTCTTTTCCAAACAAATAAACAAACACTCCACTTCAAAAGTTCTCTGTCCTGTATTTGTTTTCTAAATTAAAGCAAATCATTTTTAAATGCATTGGAGAGTTGAAAACCCTCTGTGAAATTATCGGACTTGGGAGTTAAAAGAGTGGTGTCAGAAAACCAGACCTGGAGATCACTCAACTAATATTTAGAGTGTCAGGACTTCTATTTTCAGCTCCTCTTAGCTGATGCACCATATAACCTTGTAAGTTTCTCTTAGCAACTCCCTGCCTCAGTGTTTCTGTCCACCCAAATGGGGTGGTGCTTCAGCTACTATTGGCAAAGCACTTGAGATCTGGGGATGTAAGGCTCTCCACAGATACAATTAATGTATTAGCCCCACAAAGCTCTTCTTGAGCAGAAACAAGTTATCAATTTAAAAAGTAACAAGGCCCCATGGGATATTTATCAGCCTCTTAAAATCATAGGTCTGGAGCACACTGTGGTAAGTCATCCTGGCCTTACTGCTTCATCTGATGAGGCCTGCTCCTAATGTGTTAGCCTCAGATGTGTTAGCCATCCTAGACTCTCTCTTCCATTAGGGAAGAAATTGTTCTTTTAGTTAATTACTTGAGTTTTCAAAAGAAATGTTTTTTTTTTCACCTCTTGGTGAGTGACTGGCTTCCACCGTTTGTTGTATATAAGATCAGGACAAAGACTCAAACCATAAGATATTAATGGTCATCGGCCTTCAGAAGTC